CTGGCCTTCCAACCAACTCTCATCAAAAGTTCTCCAGGGCTGTTTTACTTTTAAATCTTCTTTGTTATTATGGTCGACATTTTGTTTACTCCAAAGCACATTGGGAATAATTGGTTAGGATGCACTGCATCACGAAGGCACAGATGGCAGGCTAAAGTCTCTGCTGATCTGAAGACAGTGTTAGCATTTTTTTTTAAAGAGAGAGAAAGAAAGAAAATAAAGTAGAAAGTAGGGGGTGTTGAATAGGGCCAGCAGTGGTAGCACTGTACAAAGGATGTTGTGGGTGGTCCATTGGGAAAGTTGTTAGGAATCTGTGATATGTCCACTACAATCAACAGAAAGACACAATCGCGCCTCCGTAGGGAATTGGGAGGGAAGAAGTTGTTTAAATAAAATCGCAAGGTTGTCAGAATGTTAAGCTAATTCTCTAATGTTCTGTGCATTGTCTGGGGAGCTTAGGCATTGCATCATTTGATGTACTGAAGTAGTGACAAAATATTTTAATAGCAGTGCGTTTGGAAAGTGTTAACATCTTTTTGATCGTTCGAAAAGACTTGACTGCGTGTGGTGAAAGTAAAAAAAGAAAGAAAGAAAATGCTATTCGAGAAAAGCAACTCGTTCCATAGGCTGCTTTGTTTTCTGCTTTAGATAACTGCACAACGTGATTCTACCAGTCTCTGGGACATATGTATGCCAGTGGTTACGTATAAGTCATTACCATTACAATCCAATGATGTCCGAGGCTTGTTTTGCTGTTCTGTTAAGTGTCCCTTCAAGGGCTCAACAATGAAAGTGCTTTTACTTACAGGATGTATTGTCAAGTTTTTGTTTTGTTGAAGCTGCGCGACAGGCTGGAATACGTCAGGAGAAGTTTTTTCTAGCCTGCAGGTAACACAAGAGAGAATTCTGCTCAGTCATATGTATTGCCAGTGCTAATATTCAGTGGGATTCCTTCTCAGGTATTCTCCCATGTAGGTACCAGCTCAGTAGACATGGGTGGATCTGTTAGTTTTGGTTTTTCTCCGTTTCTCTTTTTTCCAATCTTAAGTTTATTTCTCCAAATTTCCATAACAGTTCCCATTAAAAAAAAATTTTTTGTGAACATTTATCCACATCTTAGTGATAATTTCCCCTAATATCACACTTTCCCAAAAAAAGTCCCATAATCGAATGCATTTTTCTATGTTCTTTTCACTAATATTTTCATCCTATGAAACTTTACTCTAGGATATGAATTTTTGCACCCATTGCTTGGCTGGAGAGCTGTATTGCAAAATTCAGAGAACTGCGAATTTTGATGGATGGCTGTGGTTCACTTCATGTGTTGTTTTTGGAAACAGCAAATTAGTTAGGTTCACCTTTAAAATACCCCAAAGCAAAAATGTCTCAATCTGGCACCAAAAAGATGACTAAGAGCACTTCCACCTGTCTCACCACTTTCCCCTGGGAAAATCTGCTGCTTACAAATGAATCAGAACAAATGTCAATTGGTTTTTCTATGGATTGATGTTGTTCCGATTCAGTAATTCTAACTCACTTGGACTTACTTCTGAACAGACATTCTGCAATTTTTGGTTAAGTCAGTGTTTCTCAAACTTGGGTCCCCAGCTGTTGTTGGACTACAACTCCCACCATCCCAAGCTAGCAGGACCTATGGACAGGGATGATGGGAGTTGTAGTCCAAAAACAGCTGGGGACCAAAGTTTGAGAAACAGTGGTTGCCTCCATTGTCAGAGTGCTTCTTGTGAAGATGAATCATTGATGGACTTCAATGTTCTTTTGATGGATAGATGCCTCCAGATAATATGACACAGTGCCTTTGCATCTTTTAAAAAGTGTATACTTCTTTTATTTTTGGCAGTTAAAAAGATGTGACCAGGGCGTAACCGGGTACCAAAAAATATAATCAAAATACTCTAAAATGAAAGCCCAAATATAAAACTCAGCTGTTAGAAAGCATCTCCCCAGTAAATGTGTAGTTAAAAAATGAGACACGTTATAACACCATGATAGGATTTCTCTCCCCTCCCTTTCATTGGTTGCCATATATGGGAGTAAGAAAGTATTAAAGCAATAACAATGTCATACCCCCCCCACTTGCATTCCTGTGATGATGTGGGGAAGAGGAACACAGGTCAGCAGCTCACACACATTTGCCTGTAAAATGTAGTCTGGAAGGGAGGGATTAAGATGTGCTGAGGTCCGAAACTGTGCCAAATTTAAGAGGCCTTGTAGCGTTATCCCCAAAATGTGTAAACATCAAACCTCACCTGCCACTGTTTCGCAATTTATGGACATCTGGCCTAATGATATACAGTGATACCTCGGGTTAAGTACTTAATTCGTTCTGGAGGTCCATTCTTAACCTGAAACTGTTCTTAACCTGAAGCACCACTTTAGCTAATGGGGCCTCCCGCTGCTGCTGCGGAGCACGATTTCTGTTCTCATCCTGAAGCAAAGTTCTTAGCCCGAGGTACTATTTCTGGGTTAGCGGAGTCTGTAACCTGAAGCGTATGTAACCTGAAGTGTATGTAACCCGAGGTACCACTGTATATTTTTAAGGTAAATTAAGGTTATTTATGAACAGATTTATAAACACAACCATTAAGCATACTTTGGTCATATCTAAACAATAATGTTTGTTTTAGAGTCCCCATTTACTTTAATTAGTTTTAACCAATTATGCCACATTTGAAATTTAGAGGAGCAGGGATTTTTAAAAAGACCTGTTGTAATCTGAGACCCTAAACCATAGTTTACTTTGTTTGTGTGCAGAGCTGGCACTGAGTTTGGGCCTAAGGCAGGTAAGGAGAACCTGTGGACCTCAGAAGGTTGTTGGACTCCAACTCCCATCCACTTCAGCCAGCACAGTCAGTGGTCAAGGATGATGAGAGATGTGGCCTTGCAATATACAAGAGGCTACAGTTTCCTCGCCCCTGGCCTGAGGGAAGTACTCCTGATTCTGGTGTAAATTTTCTGCAGTCAGTCTAGTTCAGTTTTGTGTTGGGACATGACATCAAATGAGGGTTCCATTCAATCTGAGCCTCTCTTCTGTGCTTCTTAGGAACATTCTGCATTGACTTCAAAGAATTTGAAGACTTTGTGATGCAAAGAAGCTTGTGTGTGACCCTCAAGCTGCTTGAACAAGTACCATCATTATGGACAGCGTTAATTTTTGTTCCAGTTTGTGACCTACCTTAAGCAGAAATTGCCAACAGACCTAAATTGCTTGGTGGCTTGTTGAGGCTGAAAGATACCCTCTGTGGACTAAACTCATTAGAGATAGAGAGGGGTTTATTAGAGATACTGTCAAACAGGCACATTAATAAGTGAGGAATAACACACAAAGCAATTATGATTTTAATGCAATGATGTTAGCATGCTGCCTTTTAACCCGTCCCCCAACCTGACACTCCTTCATTGAAAAAAGGAAATAAATGGGAATGGACAAACTCCACTGCCTTGCAGATCCATGCCATCGCATTTCAGTGCAACTTGTGTAGAAATAGCACTCAATGGACTGTGCTCTTAGGCTGCTGCTCAGAAGTGTGTATCAGATGCATGATACAACTGTCTGATGAACTATAGCCTAATGGGCCACAAGTCAGAGGGCTGCCCTATCTAGTGTGCTAGAGACTGTGCATGACTGCTCTCTGTCCCCAGGATGCCAGGATTGTTCAAGCAAAAGTAGCTGTCAGGGGCAATCCTGGCCAAATCAGGATCTCAATGGAATGGAGAAGCAGTTATGTACACATGCCAATATTTGCTTACATCTTCTAATGACATGATTCAAATGTATGGATGCGCCAGGAGGATGCTACAGGAGGCTGCCCTGTATCTCCACTCATGCCTTGAAAATGTGCATGGGCTCATCTGAACCTCCTGCCATCAAGTAAGTTTCTCTTCCTCCCGTGTTGCCTGCTCTTTGGATATCCTGACCACAGCTTCCTTTTACATCTCCTGCTGGCCATCCCATGAGCTGCAGAACTCCATATTGACAGGGTGGCCCTCACCCGATAGCATGAACTCTCCCCTGCAACATAGCAGACACCAATGGTGGCATGTTTCTTCTACCTACTAAACCCACATATTTTTGCTTGGCCATTCCCAGACCATTGATGCCAGTTTTTCACCAGCATCTATGCTGTGACCTTGATGTATTTTGCTGTATTGTTATGATTTATTGTTTTGCTGTAAAATTGCTTTGAGGTTGTGTTAAATGAAAAGTGGTCTAGAAAAGTATTGGAAATAGATGGATCATCTGGAATGAGTGGATGTTTTGTAAACTACTTTTTTTATTTCTGTGTTAAGCGTTATTCTCTCCTGTTTAATTTTAAGCTGTTAAATTATTATCATTATTATTTTGCAATGCATTAGAATGGTTTATTTTTTGTATTTCATATATATTTAGATCTATCTATCTATCTATATCTATCTATCATCTATCTATCTATCTATCTATCATCTATCTATCTATCATCTATCTATCTATCTATCTATCTATCTATCTATCTATCTATCTAATCTATCTACCTATCATCTATCTAAATCTACTTAATTGTTCACTCAGTATGCTGTGAATACATTGTAAATTGCATCATGTGAAGTGATCCTTAAATGTAATAAATAATAATATTCAAAATTTGGAAAGCTAATGTGTGATATTTTGCAATTGCCACCTGCTTTTTGATAGCCTCTATTACCTTGACACATGTTGGTGCCAAACAACAACTACCAGGGCTACATCAATGTTTAAATAAAGTGCTAGTAGGAACTGAATGTATGTTATTGGATGCTTTACAAGTTTGTGAGCTGCTACTGAACTGTGATTGGATAATAGGATAGTACATCATATGACTTATCTGTTACCTGCTTTCCCATTTAGAAAATGTGTGTTTGTATATAGGTAGATACAGATTATCCGTAATGCTTAAAAGCCAGTTATCTGCCCCAGGCCTAAGAATGGGAGAAGCTATAGATCAGGCATCTCCAAACTTGGCCCTCCAGTTGTTTTAGGACTACAGTTCCCACCATCCCTGACCACTGGTCCTGTGAGCTAGGGATGATGGGAGCTGTAGTCCCAAAACAGCTGGAGGGCCGAGTTTGGGGGTGCCTGCTATAGACTTAACACTGCAGACTTTTTAGGTTTTAATCCTGTACACCTTTACACGGGAGGCAGTCTCATTAAACTCAGCGGGATTTACTTCAGAGAAGACATTGGTTGGGTTACATGAATAAATACAACCTCTCATAGTACAAGAATATAATTTATGTAGAGATTGGCTTTTTTCAAATTATTGCCTAGGACTATAATTCCCAATGGTGTGTGATGATCAGACCATTTGGGAAAGCATATAAACCTCAGTCAGAGTTAGGCATGTTATAGGCTAATGCGGTGGGGGTGGGGTGTTAATCTTAGAATATATTTCATCCCTTATTTTTCCTCTCTTACGGCCTTGGGTTCTTCACTCCTCGGTGATTACAGTCCTGAGAATCTTCTCCGAGGCTAGTCTCTTCCCCACAACCCTAGTGTGCTAAATAAGTTTTCCACCGAAGGATAAAAATCATATCAAAGGTAATTAGGCAAAAGGTCAGTGTACATTTATTTTTTCTCCCCCTGTATATATCTGCAGCATTATCATCACCTAAGTGTCTCTTACTTACAGCTATGTTGTGACACTGTAAAAGCTATTTTGGCTGCTCTGTTGTGATGGCCGCTATTTATGGAACATAAAAGGATACAAAAAGGTTTGTAAAGACCAGGGCAGGATCAGATAAAGGAAAACGGGAGAGAAACAGGCATCTTGGGATGGTAACTACCCTGCCATGTACTGACAGGGAGGTTGTATATTTTTAGAATATACTGGAAGGAATGGTGCTTTTACTTAGGTTTTTATGTTTTACCATGAGATGCAATTTTCTGGCCTTATATGCAGTTGTAACAAAAGTCAGAGAGATTTTATGATAGCTGCCAGAGTTCATAAATGATGGCATACACTAAAATATTTATAGAACTGTAAAATCTTGATTTCTCTCTGGTTTAGCAGATGGGGCCCTAAAACCAGTTTCTAGATTGTCACATTTCTTTACCCTTTGATGACAAAGAAGTCTATTATCACTTTCCCCCTGCTTCTCCCCCTCTTCCAATCTTGCAAACAAGTTCACTAGTGTGATGAGGATCACACACTCTCTCCACTTCTTTTTTTAAAATCTCCACGAGGGATCTCTCTATTGAGGGATGTCACCCATAAAAAGCTGTACAGATAACCCTTCCCGTCATTGAAGATTCAGTGTTTGTGCAATGTAGATGGCCCTTTATTTGTTTGTTTTACACTTTCTGGTGTAATTGCATGCAAAGGGGATTGGCTCCCTTTCTGAATCTCGGCACTATGTCCCCGATAAGAGAGATAAATTCTACTTAAATGCCAAGACTTGTCCGCCTCGGCACCTTATGTATTATTACAGCTATTTGTGTCTGCTCAGAGGGTGTAATGAATTTCTATAATGCTGCTAAATCTGGTCAATATCAAAGATGGGCAGAGTTTGGGATGGAGATTAAAGAAATAGTTGCAGCATGGAATCATCAGCGTCAGAGAATTCCCCATCTGGATGGAAACCGAGGAGTAGAATTGTGCATCTGGAAATTGTGTATCTGTCTCTGTAATGCTGTAGACTGCAAAGGAATGATTTTACCACTTATGCTTTTTACTTCATCTTCATATTAAATTGAGGATACATCAAATTTGTCCTGCGGTGTAACCCACACTGAGCCAACAGCATGTGGTTTCACAGACACACCCCTTCCCATTTTCCTCCCCCCTTTCTCACATCCTGTCCTCAACATTCTAACACAAGTGTGGGGGAACTTTGGCTCAGATATTGCTGAACTACAACTCCCAGCGCATTTGGCCACTGGCCGTGCTTGGTGGGGCTGGTGGGACTTTCAGTTCAGTAACATCTGGAGATGTTTCACACACATAGTCTATCATGTTAGAGCATGACACAGAATTAGAACGCAGAGAGGGAAAAATGCAGATTTGGAGGGCAGGTTTATGTAAAAAAAAAAAAGGACCGGGTTTCATTCTCCATTGCTTCATTTCATGGGAAAATTTAAATGGGATGCCATTTTTCAGTGTGAACGCCAGAGGCCGGATGGAGAGGGGCAATAGTAATCCCTCTTCCCATGGGAATCCCTGAGTGCACCTCTTTGTTTTCTCCATATCATTAAAAAAAATACCATTTAAAAAAATAATCAGGGAAAACAAGTCAGTGGAGATGGAAGGAGGCATACCCAGAGCTGCAGTGGGGTCAAAACTGTCATAGGAAAGCTAGCATGTCAAGAAGAGCCCTGAATCATAGATTCTGTGGGTTAGATTTCACAATTTCATGCTACATTTGAAATGAGAAAACGGCAATCACCAAGCTGCAATCTGAAGTGGTACATTCCAGGAATGGGTAAAACCAAGTGGGATTGGCTCAGTTTCTGGATTGGACTGAAAATCTGGCCTAGGCTGCAAGACTGTTCTTATCTTTTTTGGGGGAGGTGGGTGGTAATTTTATGCATGTTTTAGCCCCATGGTGTTCAGTGGGAATATTTCCAAGTAAGCATGTACTGGATGGCAGCCTTGGCAGGTGTAGATTAATCTTCTTAGATGCAATGGTTTTTCTGCAGGTAACATCATTGATTTGAATAGGTTTCATTCCCTTTGCACCGGGTGAGAAGGCAGGGTGGTGCTCAGCAGAGTGGAGGTGGCCAATTTGTCCCCGAGCAATAGATAAGTCATCTAAGCCACGCGCCAGAGAGGAGGAAAACTGCTCAGCTTCCTGAGGGAACCCTGGTAAAGAAGGGTGCCAAGCAGGCATGCCCAACACTCAAGGCATGGCCAGGTCAACTGCATTTTATTTCTCTAAGCTCTCGCTATCCTGGAAGACAGGGAAAGACTTCAGTGCAGCAGGGCGAAAAGCAGGGCTTGCTTTGGAAAGTATAATTTGAATCCAGGAACGTGACTTAACCTTCAGATGTGGGTGAAGAAGGTGGCAATATAGTTTCAAGCCTGAGCCTATGTGAGTCACCCAAAATGAGACGCCGCTTGCAAGAGCCAGCGGTGCAGATGTTTTACAATATAATTGTGCATGCTACTGGCTGGTCCTTGGTGGGGCTTATATAGGTCCCTGCAGTTGCTGTTATTCCTAGCATTAATGAGGAGCATATAATTAGTACTGTTGAGAGTGTATTAACTTATGGTCTGTGTGTGTGGTTTGGGAGCTGCACGGTCAGGGGAAAAACAATGCTGTCCAGGGTTGTAAAGACTGTGGAGAAAATAACTGGGTGCACTCTTCCCACCTTGGATCAAATCTATGCTTCCAGGTGTCATAAGAAAGTTGCAGAGATAGTGCAGGATAGTGCGCACCCCGGAAATGATCTCTTTCAGCTTCTGCCTACTGGAAGAAGGTACAGGGTTATAAAGACTAGGACAAGCTGCCTGAGAAACAGTTTTTATCCAAATGTGATTTTGGTTTTAAATGCAGTGTAAGGTAGTCTCTATGGGAGTATATTGTATTTAATTATGGGGTATCAGAGTTTTTAGGAGGTTAACCAGGCTGGTATAGCTGGGATAGCAGGCTTGTTGGTGTTTGAATGTCTGATGTAGATTTTTTCAATTTTGTTGTTCTGTATGGGACAACGACAATAAAGATTATCGTATCGTATCGTAGACTACACATGCATGCAGACCAACCTCTGCAGGAGGACAGAATTGAATTGGAGGGGAATAGAAACAGCATAAGTGTTGTAAATATTGCAGATATCATGCAGGATAATTCCTACTTCGGGAACAGGATATTGGTTTCTCAGTCACTGTGCACACATTGGTCTATTGCTTGTAGGAGCAATGTTGGTGTGTATTTCAAGAAGTAAAATTTTGGGCACAAAAGTTGTTAAGCTTTTTGGGGGAATCACAGACATTTTGCCAATTTCCCACCACCACCCCGGACGTTATTCCGGACATATAGTAATCCTGTGTAGGCAGTGTGTAGGCAATGATAGCATATACACACAGATACGGATTCCCAGATTAAACATCAGAGTGTCTTTGCATTACAGAGTGCACAACATTTAAATTCCTGCCAGTCTGATCACATCCAGGGTCAACTGACATGAGCAGAATATCAGTCTATGGGTGATCCAATATAGGCTTGTGCATGTAGAACAGGGGTCAGCAACCTTTTTCATCCATGGGCCGGTCCACTGTCCCTCAGACCATGTGGGGGGCCAGACTATATTTTGGAAAAAAATATTGAACGAATTCCTATGCCCCACAAATAACCCAGAGATGCATTTTAAATAAAAGCACACATTCTACTCATGTAAAAACACCAGGCAGGCCCCACAAATAACCCAGAGATGCATTTTAAATTAAAGGATACATTCTACTCATGTAAAAACACACTGATTCCCGGACCGTCTGTGGGCCGGATTGAGAAGGCAATTGGGCCGCATCCGGCCCACGGGCCTTAGGTTGCCTACCCCTGATGTAGAACCACCCAGCTTAGATTCATCACATAGGAGGTGGAAGTAGTTGGCTTTCATACAACTGCCTCAGCTTATAGCAAGACAGCTAAAAGTTGGACAAGTGCATCTGGAAAAAATAAGAGCTGCAAATAAAGGCCATATATCGTAACTACCAGACTCTGAAATAGTTGCATGGATGAGCTTGTCAGCAAACAGTGGCCTTGCAAAAGAACATAGGCAGAAGGGTGTCTGAACACAGTCACATGTAGGTAATGCCAATTCATGTCAGTGGGATGGGAGACTGGTTCTCTGGTGTACCAAGTGGTTCTGAGGGCCAAATCAGATGCAACAGTTGTCATCTGGTACAGAATGGGTGCCATATTTTTCCCCTAAAAGGAAATAGCTAATTTGGGCCCAAGACATGGGAAGAGGGTGGGTGGGACTTTAATCTTTTGTCCATGCCAATATGAATCACCCCCATGCTTGTTATGTGCAATGTTATGTTATGTGCAATGAAGGACAGCTTCAACTGATGCCAATATATGGAAATTCTGAGTGGGATGGTGGCAAGGGCAAAGAGTTGAA